GATGGTATGTTAAAAAGTCAATTACAACTGTCCAACAGCTGGAGATTCTCAAGTTGCAAAGTTTCCCATGTCAGAACTGAATACCTAATAATCAGAGACAGGCTGAATCAGTACAATTATTTGAGCAGTATTAGCACAGATATATCTCAAGCTGAAATTGTGCCAAAACTTCCTATTTGGAAGCTTCGGGAATCTTGTGAATCTACACACCTTGCTACAACCACCTGAACCTCTCTATTGTCTTAGCCTTCCTGTAAGAAGACTTCAACCAGGTACCCCACATGAATTTGATTAGCAATGGGTGAGAACAGGTTGCTAAGAAGTTAAAACAGGATTTAAATGTTAGCTAGCTTCCAGCCTATAGCATTCTTAGCTATTGTCTAGAGAAGTATGTGGAGTTTAAGCAAATCAAGTTAGTGTTATCCAAAAGAAATTTACATAAGATTGCCTCCCCATAATCACTGATTTCACAGCTGGGCCAAACAAGGCATAAGCCGTTAAGTTTTGAAATTCTTAATTTTATTTGTGCTTATTTTCATCTTTGCTTGGACTTTCCTGGTAACTGCTGCATGGTTGTTAGTTTTGGTACTTGCCAAAGAGAGTAACTGCATTGTGAGTTCTAAAATGTACCTTAAATTTTGTATCTTGAGCTGTCATTTACTAATCTGAAAATTACCTGTAGCAATCAAGGAGAGACTCAGGACCTTACTTTAAAGTCATAAAACTATCATTTGCATTTACTGTTTTCAAATACCTGCAAGTGGTGGCAGAAATTTGGGAGCAGTGTTTAAACATACAGCATTGTCATCAAAATTATCAGTAGGTCCCAATTTAGCTGCTAAAAAAGGCTATGGAAAAATAAGAGAAAACACAGATATTCTGAGGGGCCATGAGAGCTGGAACACCACGGTGGTATTTGGAGACTTTGTGTCCCAGTGTGGAAGGTTAGAAAAAGCACCTTTCCATTCCAGTCCTTTGATGCACCACTGCTATCACAATGGTCTCCAATGAAGATGACGAACGTGCTGTAGTTATTCATTTCTAGTTGTAAATGCATATAATTAAAAATATTTGAGTGAGGCATACTCCCCTAAATTCTTTATTCATAACCAGTCCTAATTCACAATAATTGCTAACCTAAGACAAGGAATAGTATATGGTTTTGTAATAAGAAAATGTGATGTTAAACCAAGAAAAGGTTAAATTCCCTAGTTGAGAATACCAGCTTGAGTTATGAGTTTTAATACAGTGGACTGACTTTGGCCTCTCACTTACTCATTCTCTTTATGAGTAAAGGGCTTGTGAAAAAAAGTCTTAGGTCATCAGTTTTGAACAATGGCCAAAATGCCTATTTAAACAAAAAAAGGGAAGTGAAATTTCTTGGTATAGATGCAATCTATCAGTTGCTAATGGAAACATCACATAAAAGACTTTTTCAAATTATATCACAAATGTGAGTGTTAAACTTTGACAATGCAATATTACTAACCCTTGAGGCAGTGGCGTTATTGCATTGTCCTTTACCCTAGCCATGATGAATATATACACATTACTTTCAGCCATGCTTCTGGAATTCTCACCTTGCTCTTCAGCTTCATCATGCTCTTCCTCTTTATCAAAGACTTTAATTATACAAGTATGAAACTATAACAATGTAGTCAAATTACAAAGTAGAAAAAGTTTTCAGACTTCTGTAAAATGCTAAAGCACGAATGACTGGGACAGGGCAAGAAGATCTGAGTATTACTTACTTGCAATAATATGCTTAGCCACTAGATGTCACCCGGTTTTAAGCAACAAAGAACTTCACACAGAGCATCAGTTGAATTTAGATTCATTACACCACGTTCAATATTGCCCACATGATTGTCAGCTTTAACAGAGAATGTCAAAGGCAAAAGAAGCCCTCTTTTTAGACAAAAATTCTAACATTAAAGTTTAGATGGTGGAAGGTTTATTAAATCAGCTAATCTAATGACCAGAATACAGTTAAGTCAATAATCTCAGGACTCATGCTAGGAACTTACTTGATCTTTGAACTATAAATATTATTAATAAGAAAACTTTCCTTCCTACCTTTAGACATTTCTATTAAACTTCAATGAAATTTCTATGCAATTATTCTTAGTGTGATATTTTAGCCTTGTATGTCTTCTCATTACTTACTGCATTACCCTTACTGTAAGCATTGCTTTTGAATACATAAAGAAAGAAGATACTATGGAACACAAAGCATTTCCTTCTGTATAACAATGAAATGAATACATGAAGTTAACTTTCCTTGCCTTACCCAAACCTGCTGCATTCTATTCTTAAAGGACTTCACTAATATGCATTGAATATAATAATAACTGACACAGAAGAAAAAAATTAAAGTTAGAAGTAGGCAGCACTGAAATTAGAGTATCTGAAATCACATTTAAAGCTTTATGAGTGTGAGAAAACAAGCACCATGGAAAAGCATTAGACAAAGCTTCTTGCCATTCAAATTTTACTAGTCAAACCCGACGTAGCTTCCAACCAGTTTCCAGAGCTACAGAGTTAAAATGTAATAGTCACTAGCAAGTACTTTCTTAAAAAAAAAAAGATGTATTTGTTTTTATTGGAAAGACAGATTCAGAGAAATCTTTGTCTGCTGGTTTACTCTCCAAGTGGCCACAACAGCCGGAGCTCAACAACCTAAAGCCAGGAGCCAGAAGCTTCTTCTGGATTTCCCACTTGAATGCAGGATCCCCAGGCTTTGGGCCATCCTCCACTGCTTTCCAAGGTCACAAGCAGGGGCTAAATGGGATGTGGAGCAACCAGAGCATGAACTGGTACCCAGAAGGGATCCCAGTGTTTGTAAGGTAAGGATTTCGTGACTGAGCCATTGTGGCAGGCCCAACATGTACTTTTTAATTTAAAAAAAGAATGTTAAATGAATGGGTTTTCCACAAATGCAAAATGCATGCACAGGAAAGATCTTATTCAACTCACTATTTAAGAAAACCAGTGAGAAAATAAGCCTAACTCAAGAGAGAATTCAAGGATTGGAGACAAATTAAGCTTGTCAAATATTTGCAGAACTGAACTTGGTGGTACATATTTCACTATTTAATACCCTACAGAGGCACAAACCATAGCTGATTATGTTTTCTGCTCCATAGCACACAACTGTAAAAATGACAGCATAAAAATTCAGGTAGTTAGGCCTTGTGTGATGGCTCAATTGGCTAATCCTCCACTTCCAAGCTCTAGGATCCCACACAGGAACCAATTCATGTCCGGGCTACTCCAGTTCCTATCCAGCTCCTTACTTATGGCCTGGGAAAGCAGCAGTGGATGGCCAAAAAGCGCTGGAATCCTCAACCTATGTGGGAGTCCAGGAAGAGTGGGTCCTGGCACGTGGCTTCAGATTGGCTCAGCTCTGGCTGTTGTGACCATTTGGGAAGTGAACCAGTGGATGGAAAATCTTTTTCTCTGCCTCTCCTTCTCATTGTGAATCCGCCTTTCCAGAAACACACATACATCTTAGAGAATCCCAGTGAGTCAATAAATACTAAGTGATTATTGGTGAGACTGTTAATGGTTGCCCCAACGATATTGCAGAAAGTTCCTTGTCTTTTCCTTTTGTTTCTCAAATTTTGGATTTATTTTTCCATAGTCTCTTAACTGAATCCTAAATTCGAACTGTATTCTTTAGAATCTGTGTAGGCTAGGAGCTCCCCCAACCCCCCACTCACTTGCTCTTTGAGCAGATACATTACATCAGAACCTCTATTATAATTTAAATAAATAGAATAAAAAATGGCCAGGGTGGTGTTGAGTTCTTGGCAAACACATGCAATAGCTTCTATGGGAAACAATTATCGTAGGTGAAGGGTTATCAATGTGATTTGCTAAAAGTGAGAAAGAGGATTTTAAAGTTAGACATATGATCCTCTTATATGCTTATATATTCTTCTGAGACACTTTTGGCACATGGAAAGAAACTTAATGCACTGACGTCAATATATTCAAAAAAGATATCTGCCTGACTGAATCACTAAAACTGCACTTTAAAATTTTCAAGCCTTATAATCTTGAAGCAATTTTGATACAATTAACTATTTAAAAACATTTTATATCCCAGGATTTATAGATATAGAATTTGGCAACATGAGGCACACCAGGCTCTCCTACTGATTGGGCTTAAGTTCTGACATAGAGTGTGCTGCAGCCAGCGGCTGAAAACCCACAGAATTAACCAGCATCATCACATCATTAATTAGGAGCCTACATGGTCTCCTTGCCATCACGCTCCCATACACCACCCATAAACATATTCTTTTCTTCCAAGAATGTGGCATTTTAATCTCTATGGCAGGTGAAAATAAAGAACCACTTATGAGTTTCCCAGTCAAATACAAATATGTCAATTTGTTAGTGTATTCCATTCATACTTATATTTGCTCTAAAACACAGACTTCTCTAAAATAGAAAACTTACTAATAGTACTTTTTATGTAGTCAGTCTGTTGTTCAGTGTTCAGCTTCTCCAGGTTTCATGGATTATAAAGTCTTTTAGAACAGAAGATATTCCCCACAAGCCATCATGTAACATTTATAGCTTCAAAGGTAGATGTAATTTTAATAATAACATGCCACATTTAAGGCTCTATTAGGCACAACTCTGGTTGCCTTTGATTTATTCATCAATGTTAGCAATCTGAAATTTTCTAAAGTCTGATTCTTGAAAAAGAAATTAAGTGGTCTCTGCATTCAGCCATCTGCTCTACGTGATTGTAGTGACTCATTTTTAGCATTCCAGCTTACCTGTCATTGATTAACTTTCTTGTTCAATCAATCCAACCTTTTGGAAAGCATTTATTTCTAATAAAGCATATCATTTTTAACAGCACATTTTGCAAGAATTATGATCCAGACTCCCACTGGATAGCACTTAAAGAGCTCATGTGAATTTATGTTATTAATGCAAATTAAATTGTTCATTGCAAAAAAATAATTTAAAATGTTACTCACGCAGGTTTGATGGTATACGCATGCTTTTCATGGACAAAGATACCAGCAAGGCCTCCTGCCCCTGAATTTAAATACTGGGTTGGAAATTAATTAAATTGCATATATTTACCTGGATATATGACAAAATATAAACAAAATAGCCAGTTGACATTTTTTAAAAGTTACAACTTTTAATAAATTCAAAATGGGTGATTGTTTGAACTTTTATTATAAAAAAGAATTTCAGGAACTTTGTTTAAAGAAAGCAATGGCTGTGTTAAAGATAAATGGCTATTATTTTCTGGTCAAATTTCATCATAGCTAGTAGAAACCTGTTTTACTGAAATAGGTAATAACATTTTTAAATGATTAAACAAGTAGCATACTTCAAAAATATGCACAGTTTGGTACACTTCTCTTTCAATTGAATACCTTTGAATAAGAATACTAACTTCACTGTCTAAGACTCGTCATTACATTTGTAGAAATTTCACAAACTATCACAAAAAAAAAAAACTAACAAAGCTATTTGAAAAATATCCTCAGTAGCAGGCTTAAATATCCCAACTCTTTTTACAGTGGCCTAGCAGTTGAAAAAGTAAGTTCTCAATATTGACAGAAATACAAAAAAAAAAAAATTCATGCTATTTTATCAGATGGCATATTAATTAGCTGAAAATCAGAAAACATAATAATAGAAAAATATTAGATGAGGTAACTTTAATCCTTTTAATTGGACAGTGAATCCAGTATTTCAACAGCAATGTGAAATCAAAGTCTGTAAATATGTTAGCTAATTTGTACCTTGTAAGAACACCAGCAGGCAAAATCAACTCCCCAGTCATGCAGGTGGAGTTCAACATTTCCAACCGCATGTGCCAGATCAAAGCCAACAAAACATCCCTAGGGAAGAACATAGTAACACATTTTGAGTTTGCTTAATGATCGGAAATAGTATAGACATCTTCAAGACCTTTGATAAACCAGTCAACCATAAATACCAATTCACTGTTTGATACAGTGGTTCACAAAGTACAATCCACATTTCCCAAGACTCTTCCATTAGTCCATCAGATCAAAACAACATTCATAGTACTAAGACCACGGGCATCATCTTTAACAGGTCAACACTGACACTAGTAGAATAAGAATAGTGATTGAAACACAGTGCTGGCACCTTAGCAGGAACCAAGGCAGTGACTGCAAACATTTAGGGGAGATGGAATTGTTCCACTTAAGCATTTACTTGCTCAATTTGTGATAATGATCAATTGCTATCTAATGCCGGCTTCTTAACCCTGTTGTTTTCTAATGCTTAATGTGCGAAGTAATCATAAAGTACTTGACCACTTCCATAAAGTATGGCTACCTTAGAATATTAGGGCATACTTCTGATGGGTTACTAATGATATATGTTTTCTCTAAAATCACTTGTATACACATGGAAGACATACAGAATTCAATGAATGTTTCCCAAATAACTAATGATTGATGTTCTCTCTCTCATGAATAAATGTTCCATTCACAATAGATCTAAAAAATCCAGTTAGTTAGAATTTGCAATCCCTACCACAATAATCATTAGTTGTCAATATATATACTAAAGAATACGTATAACTGATCTAGAAACTGCTATCGCCTTTTCTACTCCAGAGTCACATGAATGTTTTCCTCATATGCTTCACAAAAAATGAAACAAAATGATTGAAGCAGGCAAGAAGAGTCAGCCGTCCTGCAGAGACACAGTGGTGCATGGGATAAGCGGTTGCTTGGAATGCCCACATACTGTACCGAAAGGACTGAGTTTTGGCTACTCCATGCTTTGGATCAAGCTTTCTGCTAATGGGCCTGGCATGCAGTGGTTGATGCACAAAGTATCTGGATTTTTTGGAAGAGGTAGATAGAGTTCCTGGCTCCTGGTCTCAGCTTGGCTTCGTCCTGGCTGTTAGCATTTAGGGAGCGAGTCAGTGAACGGAAAAATCTGTGTGTGTGTTATTCTTTCACTCTGAGTGTGTCATTTTGCCTCTCAAATAAAACACTAATCTTTAGGTGGGAGATGTTGGGTGGGAGGGGGAAGTGAGTTATTTACAATTAAGTCAAACGTTAATGAGCTTTATTTTATTCATTTTTATTTTTTTACATTTTAATTTTTTAATTTTTAAAAATTTAGAGATTTTTCAACTTAATGCTGCTGATCCTTTTTTGTTTTAAAACAGTTTGCATTTTATAAAGATGTATGTATTTATTGGAAGGAAAAAACAACCAAGAGAAAGTGTGTGCACTGCCTTTCAGGCCCATTAGCAGGAACGCGGACTGGAAGTCAACCTTCTGGGACTTGAACTGTACCCAGCCAACAAGCTTCAACTTGACCCTCTGTGCCACAACAGTGCCATGAAAATAGTTTAATAATATATCTGTTTACGCTATTAGGTAAGAAACATATTATTCTAAAGTAAATGGTTATATAATAACATTTAAATTATAAACAATGTACATTTAGATAAAAACGTTAAGTCCTCTCTGACACACTCAATTTTAAGAATGGAAAATGTTTCTATTTCTTAAATATTTTAGAGCCGCTACTATCGTATTTTCTAGGAATCTAAAGGAGTTACTGGATTGTCTTTTTAACTTTTAAGTTCATGTCATGACCATACTTAATCGAAGCAGTTCAAGTCTGCGGACTGTGGTAAATTGTAGCTGTAGTTCTAACTCTTTGCCCCTTGTTGTATTCGTGATCTCTGCACATCATTTTTTGGTTTCTTTCACTCTGGAAAACATAATTTTCTGCTATTGGACTCAGCTCTGTGATTTGTTTTAACCAATATGCTCTGAAAACCATGATTTAAAAACCAAGTCTCATAAAGCATTGAATGACTAGGCTTGCTCCATCTTTCCCACTGCCATAACAATGAGAACTATTTACAGGAACCAAATCATCAGCTCAGAGGGAAAATGAAAATAACGTGGATCAGAGTCTCTTTCATGGGACGCTCACTGGTCAGTAGCATCCCAGGTCCCTTAGTTTTCCACAGACGCTTGACTAAGCTCAGCTGAGGCAACCAGGGCTCCTCCTTGCTAACCTGGCTAGATCAGGACACACCAGAGTGACCCAAACAGAAATGATCATTGCTTCTAGCCAGTGAGTTCAGAGATGCTGTATCACACACCATTTTTATGATGAGTGCTAAAGACAAAGGCATGTGAGTGATCTTAGGAGTTAGAACTGCCGCTCCACGCAAAGAGCACTAGCTTGAGAAGAATCACAGGATGGGAAGTTTGTTTCAGCTACTATTTTGTAAGTTTTGATGGTCAGGAGCATATATATATATAGATATATATATAGATAGATATATATATATCCACATATATAGATATATATATATATCCACATTCTATGCTACTATTCAAGTAAACAGGAATACTTTTTGGTATGAAATCAAATATGAGCCAACTTTTTTTTTTACTGGTATTCAATTATTATTTTTTTTTCCAACAAGATTCCTGTCCAATTATAAAACAGAAAAAAAAAAATGCTGCTATGGAGAGAATTTTAAAGTTCATGTTGACCCAATAGTAGGTACCACAGACTGAAGTAACTCTTGAAATGTGTTTCAGTTCTGTCTTCATTAGTTGCTCGCCACATGGTTTTGCATGTTTCTTGTCTGCCTTGTAGGATTCACAATTTTTTTCTTTTTCTTTTTTCTTTTTTTTTAAATTATTTTTATGATAGTTTTATAAGTATAGGGATTCCCCTCTTCCTCCTCTTTCTCTTTCCTTGTTTTCCATCATTTTCTCCCATTTTATCACAGTAGTATAGTGCATTAATAACAGTTACAAGATTAATATTCTCCTTTTTATGTATATCATGGCAACGTAGTTATAAACAAAGGTAGGAAAAATCTAGTACTATATTATTGAGGTATATCTAACTGCTTCCCTAGGAGGCTACTTTTACTTGGAAGCAGAGATGCGTACTGCAAGGTAACTTCCCTTTCTGGGATGCTAGTCTCCATTATACGGTTCATGCTTTTAAGCAGAATCCAAGCATCTGTTTATGCTACATTCTAATGAGGAGGAGCTAGAGATGCAAACATTTTACCCAAATTGCACTCAATAATATTGCGATTGTAATTGAATGCTTATCATCAGCATAATTTAACTTTCTGCATAGCAAAACATTTTTAAAAATTACTTAAAAATAGTGATTCAAGCTACATTAAGACACTTTTGAACATGGATTTTAAAAAAGAAGGAACTGAGGTTTCAGTTAGAATGATGGAACTTTGTAATTTCTTCTGTGCTTTTTTATTAGTTCAGCAGGTATGCATATGTGACAATTTAATAGCTCAAATTTAGTTGTCTTGCATTAAGGGAACATATCTATTGACTGAAGGCAAGTGAAGCAAAAATAGTATTCTAATATACCTTAAGAATAATTGAAACCTGTTATTGGACATATTTTCCCAAGATCAAATACATGCTAACCATGACCAATTTTTATAAATAAAGCTACACTGGAAACACACCAATTCCTTTGTTTACATACTGTCCCATGGCCACATTTGCACTGCAGAAGCAGAACTCAGTCATTACAGAAGAGACCATATGGCCTACAATGCCTGAAATATTTACTACTTGGGCCCATTACTGAAAATGCTTAGCCTTACCCTGCAACATTAGTTTCCATAAGAAAAATTCAATGTATTGATAAGTTAATTAATTAAAAGCCTTACTCATTATAATGTGATTGAAACTGGTATCTCACAGAAGTGCAGGCTCTTACTGGTAGCACATAACGGATTTGCCCTTAGAAAATGCATGCTTTTGTGATTTTTTTACTAAAAATTGAATACCACGCATATCAGAATAAGACAAATGTTCTATGTTAAAACACATTTGGGGATAAGATAGGAAAGAAATACAGTTACTATCCTCCGGGTCTTAAAAGTTATTAAAACCTTGGTTTGTCGGCTAACATTTAAACACACAAACACACACACATCTATTTAATGTACTGTAACACACCGAAATTCCAATTAGGAAAACGAGCTTCTCTGGATTTTGGGGATAGGAGTTGGGACAATGCTTAATATTCTGCTTGGGATCCCCACATTTCACACTGCAGACCCTGGACTTGACTCCTTGATCAATAACCACATCCAGTTTCCTGCTAAAGTGCACCCTGGGGGGCAGCACATACTGACTGAAGTAGCTGGGTTTCTTCAGACCACTTGGGACTTCTCCCTGACACCCCAGGCATGTGGAGGAGTGAACCAGGAAGTGGGAACTTTGTATCTCTGTCCCCGCCCCTGCCCGGGGCTTCTAGGGTAGATAAAATAAATGAACAGTTAAATACATTTTTAAAATCAAGTTAGGGGGCTGGGGTTGTGTCCAGATGGACACCTGATCGAGTGATCTAGCTGCTCTGATTCAGCTCCCTTCTAATACACCTGGAAAGACAACAGCGCATTGTCCAAACACTTGGGCAACTGCCATGCATGCGGGAGACAAAAGTGAAGCTCCTGGCATCAGCCCGGCCCAACCCTTTAGGGGGTCAGTCAACAGACAGAAGAGTTGGCTTTCCCGCTGTCTATAACTCTTCAAGTAAACACATCTGTTTAAAAAATTTACTTTTCTCATATTTTAACTCTTCTGTTTTCTCATCGGTATTTCTAATTAAAGCAATATTTTTTATGCAGAAATCTTTACAACTCAATGGTTCAAGATGACGAGTCAAGATTCCTTAGAAAACTCAAGGGAACAAAAGACAATGCTTTTACTTTATATACTTTTACTATTATTTATAAGGATGACATCGGAAGAAACATATCCTGTCATTAAAGACCATGCGACCAGATCTGTGCACCACATAAAAAATTCCTCACAGCTTCTACAATACA